AAGACCTTCCGAAAAGCATATCGAATATGTATGAAATATACGAAAAACCTTACCTTAATTTCGTGCCTTTTAGTGTTTAAGAGCTAAAATTTGAAAGCTGATGGGTACCCATCGTTACGGTATGATACCTTTATATGATAAAAAAAGGTCAGTTGATTCCTTGACCTATAAAGTCCGACATCTTCTTTCGGTTTTATAGCTGTACAAAATTTTGAAATTTTTATTTTTGGACTGCTCTAGCACGTGACTTTATTCTTATAGATAGTTATTGTATAAGCCCACGTCACCCATGTCCGTCCGCCCAAAAAAAAATGCCTGTTGAAAGAGGATTTAAATACTGTTAACAGTAATAGATTTATTTACAAGATATTCTTGGGTTATTCCTTTGAAAACAAAAAAGGATTATCAGTCAAATATGCCTATGAAACAATCTAGTAGAAATTATGGGTTGATGCTGGTACAGAGTTTTATAACAGAAATGTTAAATCACTGGGGTTTGAAGCACGTGAGCTTATTCTTATAGATAGTTATTGTATACGCCCACGTGAAATGGGGGCGTATATCGTCTTCACCCATGTCCGTCCACCCCCCTCCACGAAACAATTTGCCTGTTGAAAGAGGATTAAATATTGTTTGACAGTTATAGATTTATATACAAGATATGCCTGGGTTCTTCCTTTGAAAACATGATTATCAGGGAAACTCTGTAATAATAGAAAGATTTAATAGGACACTTAATCAAAACTGTTTAAAACATTTACAAAACTAAGGTCTCAATTAAGACTGTATTATCGAAATATAATAAAATTAATTCTTCCATCGGTGTTTCTCCTCTGAAATTTTGAAAATGAAATAAAAGATATACACGTTAAGGAAAAGTTTAAAGTTGATAAATTCAATAAATTCTTGAAGGAATATGTTGGATATTAGACAAACGAAATATTTATAGTAGATGAAGTAAATATGAATTAATCGTTCAAGACAAAAAACAAATCATAGGTAGATTTTACCAAAACGAACTTCTGAAAATGATTAGTTTTCTTGATAAGTATGGAAATGATACAACTTTAAACTAATGAGATGGGCAAATGAGTTAAATATATCACCGTTTTATTATTGAGATGAAATAAATGATCTCAAGGATAAGAAAGGTAAATTTTATGCTGTAACAAATATACATACTTTCCATCAAAAACGGAGTTCATCAGTCTGCTTTATACAAAGACTCTTTAAATAACTGTTATTTTTTTTGATTCTTTTGGATTAGAACCAACTAAAGAGATAATGAACTTAACTAATCAGCCAATTAAATGTTCTAAATGTGTTTTGTCAAATTCAAATGCCAGGACAAAAGTTTTGTGAACAACTTTCACATATATCAATTAAGCTTGAGAAAACAGTTTTATAATAAATTATAATAAATTTAACTTAATTATAAATGGCGAACAAGTTTGGATTAGGTTCTGTACTTTTAAAAACTAAAAAACCAAACACTACATGGATAAATAAAGCAAAACCTTATTTTGTGGATCAAATTGGAGTCACACTTCAAGGTGATAAAGTTATGAACAATTTCAATGAACTAATTTAAAAAGTCTACGGAAAATGATAATGATGCTGTTCACAAGAAATATTTACTGGATCAAATAAATTCAATTGAAGAAGATAAAGACCATATAAAAGATAAAATAACCGATGTGAAGAGATTCTTCAAACGCCAACTAAATAATAACAATTTTATTCTAACCTGAAAAATCTAAATTATATAGATAATACTAAACTACAAAGAGATAACAAGATTGAAACGTTTAATTCAACAACAATTGGTAAATGTAGTGGACAAAATGTAAGTTCATCGGTATCTTAATTAGATGATAAGATTGCAAAACATAAATTAGATGTTAAACAATTAATAGATAACATTTAATATATTACAACGGGAATTAACTACTCTAGAAACTCAATTTAACGCTGAATTACAAAAAGAACTAACAAATATTAAACAACAAATACAAAATATTGATAATCGTGAAATTTAACCCTATATTCAATGACAAATACAAAATATTGATGATTGTGTTATTCATCAATAGATAACTACTATTAATAACGAAGTTTTAAAACAGGAATAAAGAAAACCATATTAGAAAACAATCTCAAGAAAAAAGATAAATCACATTATTTCAATCTATCATATGGAAAGTTGATGAAGAAAAAATAAAAAACGAATCAATCATTTATGACTTAAAAATTATGGATTTACGGCAAAAATTAAAGTATCTTCTTAGTTATAGTTGAAGAGTTATCGTTAGCTTTCCAAAGTAAAACTCTAATTGAAATTAATTTTCTTATGAAGGTAAAAGTTGATTCAGTATTCTTCATACAATACTCTCATTTTGAGGGAATAGAGCAATTTGACGCTCGTACAATTCTTTAATTTATAAAGGTCGGCGAATATGAAGAAACTACAATATTAGAAATTAACGACGAAACAACAGGTTTGATCACTTGTGTGAATTTAAAAAAATGGAAAAAATATATATACCTTTAGAATGTTAATCATAACACAAGATGACGCATATGTTCTTATTGGATTTAGAAATAATGACATGATATTAGAGAATGAAACTCCACCATCAATTATTAGAAATCCAGAACATGTTTTTACGAACATCAGACTTTGAATATGTAAAACTATATTTTGTTAATAAAGTTTTTCACACGAAGAAAGTATTACTTTTTCATTTATCTCAATTGATATTCATAAAAGTCAACAAGATAAAGAATGTATAATATTTTCAATAATATAATATATTAAAAGAACGTAAGGATGGTATAGAAGTTGGTGATATATAATTGTAAATGTCAAGATAAACAGAAATATTTACAAAACCAAAATTTTCAGTTGATCGAAACAAGATTAATGATTCAAAAGAAGAAATATCGTTAGTATCTGTAGAAGTTTTTATTTTCAAACCTTAAAAAAACAACGTGGTGGAGATTGTTGGGAGACTTACTTTAGATATTTTAGATTTCGGGGAAGGTAGGGTTTGATTCTCCCAAATGACAGATACTTTATTTAGAAATTGGGATTAAGGGTCTTGATATTGAGTTTCTTCTTTTCTGATTCTAAGAGATGTATAGTATCTGTTATGTACTGATTGTTTTTAGTTTACTATGAACAATAATATCATTTAAGTTCTTATTTTTTTCTATTATTTTCTGCTTATAGACATGGGGGAATTTCTCTTGAAGGCTCTTATAGTGGACATGAACTATCTTGCTTGCTCGATTGCTGGTTGTATTGAACGGGACAACAAAGGGTGCTATGCCTACATTATGGTGAATATTTAGTCCTATAGGTCATGCTGTATTCAATATCTCAATCCAATGGGCTTCCCTAGATTGACGGAATTTGGTAGTTTCATCTTCGGGCAAGTCAATTTCTATATGCTCAATTGGGATTAGGGCGAGATCGTATATTGAATGGTCGTCGAGGTTGAAATGATAAGAAACAGGCTTGTCTTTCTTTAATTTGATATCCGACCTGTGAGCATTAAAACGAGTTCGTAAATTATTCTTAGTTTCTCCTACATATTGATTGGGGCATTTCTTGCATAAAATGAAATATATAACATTCGAATGTTCACATGTTAGATGTTCCTGGATCGGGTACCTTTTATTCGTAGAGTTGCTTACAAAATATTGAGTTTCTGATATAAAGGGACAAGTTTTGCATCTTCTGGACAAACATGGGGCACTCCTTAAACCTGGAGGTACTTAAAAAGCCTGTTTTTAGCTGCTATCTGTGCAAAGGTGGAATTTGTTATGTTTCGTAAAAATCGTTTAGAGTACTCACGCTCTTTCAGTTTTGAGAAAACAATCGTACAGGCTTGGTTGAAATCAGAAGATCTTATGAAAATTCGGTGTAATCGTAAAACTTGTGACTTTGGGTGAAAGGAGCAAGAGTTGATGAGTATCAGTTTCTTTGAAATACACTTTAATAACGCTTCACGTTCCACTCGTGTGAGATTAGGCTTTTCGTGTGTTATGGAAAGGTTCTCTGTTTGGCTATTCATACTCTCAAATGCTTTCAATATTTCAAGTTGGATGGCCGCCTGATGGGCTGTCCACGTGGATTTAGGAATGAACATTGTTCTAGCACCGCGTGGGGGGGGGGGGGTGGTTTCGAAAAAATATGTGCAGCTAAGATTTCTTTGAAATGGATGGTCGGAGATAATTTAAGTTGGCTATCTTTTGTGTGGGAATAAACTTAAGTCCACGGTATAAGATTGAATGCTGAAGGGGTGTGAGAATTTTGCGTCTCAAATTAACTACAGTTTGGCCTAGCGATGGTCTCTCAGTATTTTTATCCCCAGTAAGACTTACTCGATGCTTGAAGCTGGTGTATCCAAAACAAATAAATACTATTTGCTGTTTCTGGAGACCAATGAAACTTATCAACTGTTTCGAATTCTTCTAGTAGTATATGAGTTTTCTGATATAGCGCATCCAGTTTGATCCGGTTTTTGAGATGTCAGGTATATTTCTTTTCGGATATGACGCATTTCACTTCTGCGCATGCGCAGCTTTTTCAATGCGTCATATCCGAAAAGACACAACTGTTAAAATGTATTATAACAGACTCCCGAAACTGTTAAAAATGTATTATAACAGACTCCCCAAACTGTTAAAAATGTATTATAACACACTCCCACCCCAAACTGTATTATAAATTTCCCAAACCACAGACAAGAATCACTAAAAATAATACAGTATAAAATAACGGCATTAAAATAAAAATGTCTTTGATTTTAAAACACGAACAAAAAAAATTCGAAGGAGACGGTTTCTTTTCTGCGCTAACATCTCTCTTCCCCAAAGTGGCCAATTTTGTCTCAAACAACAAATCCCTCATTTCCTCAGGAACATATAAGAGAAATGCGAAATAAAAGATTAGAAAACAAAAAAGGCAATGGTTTTAAAAATATTGGATAAAAATGTCAATGATAATTGCACAAAGCCCTAAAACGTATTTCGGTGCGGGAGACATTCAAAAGTCATTGGGTTCTCTTCCTGGATTCCCATGGGCAAAATATCCCGGAGAAAAACATCTCCTAGGGCACAATTATACAGGTCCAGGCACTAGGTTAGATCTGCGTTTAGACGAAAATGATATTCCCAAACCAGGGGAAGAACCCGTTAATAGAGTTGACGCAGCAGCGCTCAAGCACGACATACTGTACAGAAACAAAGACATAACATTCAGACACCAAGCAGACAAACAAATGATAGACGAACTCAAAAATATTCCCAATCCCACTTTCAAAGAGAAATTACAGAGGGCTCTTACCATAAAACTCTTGAAGGCAAAATTGAAATTGGGTATGGGCATAGCAGACGAGATTCACAAAGAATTTCGAAAAAACAAACATTACCTCAAAGTCAAAGTTTTTGATAAAGATGAAATTTGGTCATCCGATTTAATCAACATGCCAGTCGAGAGAGGGTACAAGTATTGTTTGACGGTGATCGACATATACACGAGATACGCTTGGGTCTTTCCCTTGAAAAACAAATCGGGTCTGACTGTCAAACAAGCATTCGAAACCATAATGAAACAATCCGACAGACGACCCCTAAAGTTGTGGGTTGATAAAGGAAGCGAATTCTACAACAGAAATGTGAAATCTCTGGGGTTTGAAATTTACAGCACGCATAACGAAGGTAAGGCTGTAGTGATAGAAAGATTCAACAGGACTCTTAAAAGCAAATTATTCAAGAAATTCACGGAATTGAAATCTCAAAAATGGCTTAAAATATTACCAGTTGTTGTCGACGAATACAATAACAAAATACATTCGTCTATAGGTGTGACGCCAACGCAAGCCTCTAATCACCCGAATATCATAAAGTCCGTCAACACTCGAAACAACTTTGAAAACGAGATTAGCAATTTGAATATTAAACCCAAATTCAAAGTTGGAGATCGAGTTCGTATTTTTAAATATAAATCATTGTTTCAGAAAGGTTACGTCGGCTATTGGACTAACGAGATATTCATCGTTGATAAAGTAAACAGCACATCACCTCCCACGTATGAATTGATAGATCAAGACAAAGAACAAATCATAGGAAGGTTTTATCAAAATGAACTTTAAAAAACTGACTTTTAAAAATGAATCTCGAAAATGAAACACAAACTACGTATATATTTCGTCAATTGGGTCTTCAGCAATACTTACCGCCTACTTCGAAAAACACCTAAAAAAATCAACTTAAAAAATGAATGCATTTCTCGATAAATACGGAAAAGACACGACCACAAACTTTCAACTTGTGAAATGGGCCAAGGAGTTGAACGTCTCGCCGTTTTATTATTGCATGCGAGATGAAATTGATGAACTGAAATACAAAAAAGGTAAATTTTACGCCATCACAAACATTCATACTTCGGATCAAAAAGGAGTTCATCACTCTGCTCTACACAAAGATTCTTCGAATAACTTTTATTTCTTTGATTCTGTCTAGAACCGACAGAAGAGATAACGAAATTGACTAGCAAACCAATCAAATGTTCTACGTTTCAAATTCAAATGCCAGGACAAAAGCTGTGTGGACAACTGTCGCTTTGGGTTTTATATCGGTTGAGTATGGGAGAAAAGTTTGAAGAAATTATAATAAATTTAACTCAATAAAAACGGGAAACAAGTTTGGATTAGGGTCTTTACCTCTAGAATCTAAAAATCCCATGAGTTCTACGGCGTTTATAAACAAAGCGAAACCTTTTTTCGTGGATCAAATCGGAGACACCTTGCAAGGGGATATCGATATGAACAATTTCAAAATAACTAATTTAAAGTTTCCAGGAAACGATAACGATGCCGTGAACAAGAAATATTTACTGGATCAAATAAACGCAATTCAAATAGATAAGGACCATGTTGAAAATAGAATAAATGACGTGAAAAGATACATCAGACGAAATATTAAAAATCTTGTGGACGAACCCAAACTACAACAAGAGTTAACGAGTTTGAAACGTCTTATTCAAGTGGATAAAACAAGTCAGTTGCAAAATTTAATATCTAAATTAGACGATAAGATTACGAAGGTAAAAATAGACGTCCAACGTTTAATAGACAACCCAAATGTAAACGAGGATAGATTGAAACGAAAACTAACCGCTTTGGAAAGAAAACTTGGCGAATTGCTAACAGAACTAGACAAGACCGCGGACAAAACCGAGTTACAAAATTCGATATCCAATTTGAACGAAAAGATCGCGAAGCAAAAATCAGATGTTCAAGATATAATTAACACATTTCCCATTGACAAAGATACGTTGAAACGACAATTGACTGCTTTGGATACTAAAATCACGGACGAATTAGAAAAAGAAGTGGGTGTGATTAAAAACTTTCTTCAAAATAAATTTCGAGATGATATGAAAAATTATATTAAAGAACAGGTCAATCTTTTAGTATCTAGAATTCATGACGATTTTTTGAGACAAGAGAGAAAGTTGACCAAATTAGAAGCTATTGTCACGGACAAATCGTATTATTTCAATCTACCATTCGAAAGTGACACTGTCTTCAATGGAAAAGACCAAATTTATAAATCAAACAAATACGGATTCAAAGCAGAAATAAAAGTGGGTTCTCTCGTAGACGGAGAACCTAAAAACGTATTCGATATCGGCGAAACGGAAGCGTTTACTTTTCGAGGTAATTGTCTGATTCAAATAGGGTTTCCCATGAAGGTTAAAGTCAATAAAGTAGTCTTCAAACAAACCGGTAATGCCGTCAAACATATTTCATTATTCAATGATGGTAATTTGGAAGAGAATATACGTTTGATTGATAAAAGGGATCAGGAAATTGAAACGAAAAATAGTAAATATGTAGACACCTTTAAAATGGAAGTAGAAAATGATAAGGATAACATTGGAATCAAAGATTTGGATATGATATTGGAGACGGAAAATCCACCATCAACCAACATTGTCAAAGTTTCACGACGCTTACACGTATACGGATCAATAGAATCGAGCAGTCACGAGTTTTTACGAACAACAGACTTTGAACACGTAAAACTGTATTTCGCTTTAGGTGAAAAATACACCTCGATCGATGTTCATAAAAGTCAACAAGAAAGAGAGTTTATAGTGCATTTATCGTTTGCTGAAGACTCCATCCTTGAAGGTGGTGGTTATATTTTTAGAGCCAAAATAAAAATCGAAAAAGAAAAAATAAAATATTCCTATCATCTTAAAGAGGACCATACGAAAAAAGAAATGTCGTTAGTACGCGTAAATGTTGTTACTTTTAATACCCGCAAATATAATAATGCTAGGCCAAACAAGTACGTTCTATACGATATTCCGTGGTTCCATTTATCGGAAATTCACTTAATTTAACGATTTAAAAAATAGAACTCGAAAGCAGACAACAATACATGATAGACAAACAAGAAGAGTTGAAAATAAAGTTAAGACAGTGCAATACATGCAGGAAAACATGGAGTAGAATCGATTCTTTTTTCAAAACAGCGAGCACAGTTCTAACGGTAGGAGTAACGGTGGCAACGGCCGT